GTGATTCTCGCTGATAACACTAATTGAAAGAGTTGTTCTCGTGTTTTACCACGCGACCGGCTAACTGTTTCATCACCGAGATAAATGTTTCGCGATTATTTACGCTCCGTGCTCCATCATAATACAGCGAGCTGTTTGCACTGATCCCGCTAAAAATAGCAAAACGCGGAATATCATTGCCGCGTCATTTTCGTCGGAATCAGATGATTTAGAGCCTCGTTTCGTCGTGGAGTAATACTGGGTGGTTTCCGTCGCCGTCGAGCAGCAATCTCGGGAGAAGGAGAGAGAGAGAGAGAGAGAGAAAGCAGCTCTGCTCGGCGCGTCGTGTCGCGTCGTGCGAAAATATTCCGCAATCGAATTTCGGAGGCTGCATTATCATCATCATCTCGCCTTGGTGGGGATCTACGACGATAACTCCACTACGACTATGACTAGGACAATGACGATGACGTCGAGCACGATCATGCAAACAATGATTCGACTGTTCTCACAGCGTCGCGTGTATTTGAAAGTTGCGAGCGGCCTTCAAAGTCGAGAGAGCCGATCGCGAGAAAGAGAAAGGGTGGCGAGGGAGGGATGAGGCGACGCGGGAAACCGTCTGAAGAGGAACAAAGATTTCTGTGTATTGACGTGCCAAAATAGTCGATTCCGCAAAAGCATATTTTCGCGCACTAATTTATCCGCGGAGAGAGACTCACGATCCCGCGCCGCGCCGGTTGTTCGTCGCAGCGACAGCTTTTCTCTCTATTCCGATCGCGCGGTAAAAAGCACACAATGACGGTAGCGTGAAGTTCGATGACTGCGCGGCCAAGTTTCGTGGAAAGCACTCGAGGGTGGCACGTGTGTTACAAGTCATGTCGGTGACTCGCACGCACGCACACACATATACACACGGGAATTTCTTCTTCGTCTTCTTTGCCGTGGGAATATCGTGTACTCGTGAGACGTATGTGGAGATTTTGATTTAAAGCGATTCTCATCCGCGCATGCTGATATTTTTCGCTTCGTGGCACGATTTCTCAGACTTTCGAGGAACGTCTTAAAATATTCCGCGACCCACGAAAGGTCGCGTCCCAAGGAGAAACACGAGTGGTCGCGTGGGTGCATCGTATGCTCCGTCGGAATTTTATCGATGCACGATGCGTTCTTTTCGTGAATCGTTTTCGAATAATTTTCTTACACCCTCACGCGTCAATTCTCACCCCTCATGTGTCACTCTCGCTGGCTTGTCGCAGAATTATAAATACATATAATGCACGAAGGATCTCTTTCTCTCTTTCGCGTGATTTCACGTCGTTTTGTGCGATCGTCTTTCCTCTCGCTTTTGAGAATCCTGAAATCTTTTTCGACAAAATCCAGGTGTGTTATCGCGTGTCAATGATCAGGAAGTGAATACGGGCGCGGCGGGTGTTCTTCGAATCTAGGACCACGTGCATCCGCAGGACGCGAATCCGTTGACTCACGTTCGTCGCGGCGCGAGTGCGACGCGTCCGTCGATTAATCCGCGCTCTCAACACAATGACGACGACGACGACGACGACGTATCTCGCAGCGGGCCAATTAATATCCGTCGTCGGCGGTCCATCTAATAATGTTGTTGTCTCGCGTTCGCGCATCGATATCTTATTTACGCAATGCGCGGCCCTCCTCCCCTCGTGGACGACAAAGTCCAAAGAGGAACCGTCGCGCTCGCGCACAGCGACGTGCCGCTTCGCGCTCTCTGTTGTTGACTCTTCCGCGAATCAAAGGCGAATTATCGTGCTCCATGGTGAATAATTGCTGATCGTTGTTGTTATGCGTTCTCTCCGTGTGGAAACGTTCGATACGGCGGTATATCGCGCCGTAGACGTTTCCCCCCTCCGCAAAGACCTTCTCCGCGACAGACGGCGGTTTTAATGTTTTTCTTCTGTACGTGAAGCTGAGAAACAAGGAGAAAAACGCTGCTGGTACACGGTCGAGCGGCGGAAAACCGTCAGATTAGATTAGCGGAGCGGAGAGGAGAGCTCACGTCGCTGAAGCGTGCGGTGATATTTGTTTAACGATCGGAGAATCAGACAAAGACGAAGGGAAAAAGAGAGAAAGAGAGGAAGGGAAGGTCAACGTTACCAGAACGAAAGATCATGACAGTCCATCCGTGACAAGGTCCGGTTTCCTTTCGGCGGGATTTACAGTAGATTGTACCGGGGTTCCGTGGAAACGTGTTCAGGATAGACGAGCGGGGAACGGTCGTAAGAATTCGATTTTTTTAAGCGCTGCAGTGAAAACGTCTCGGCGCCCTTCGCAGGACGATACTGCTCGCGCGCAGTACACGTGCGCACGTCGGCGCCGTTGTCGTCGCTCCTAAATTAATCATTATCGCGCTCTCTCTCTCTCTCTCTCTCTCTCTCTCTCTCTCCTGGCGTGCGGGTCACGCGGCGCCGTGCCACGCGTCATTACACAACATCGTTGTACAATGTTTGTCGTGCGATTTGTAGATAGACGTACGCGTACGTATACACATACGCGTACGCGCGGCTTATGTACACCGCGCGTGGATCGTGGCCGCTGACGTAGTGCATTCCTAAGATTACAGGTGGACTACTTTTCAAAAAGACGTCCGATAACGCGCGCCTCTCTAATCAATTCTGTACGCGCGCGCGCGCGCGCGCGCCACTCGTCAAGGAATTATCTATCGACTGGCGCTGGCAAAGACTCGCGCGAAAGGAAGGCGGCCGTCAACATCGCCGATGATCTACGATCGCGCGACCGTGCGCTCGAACGTCCAGTCTAAACTGATAAATTGTAAACGGATGCACAAAGCCGCGATCTGGAGTATAACTGTACAATAGAGCGTAGCAAGGTAGAGTGGCCTATGTAGAAGATCGGGGAGATGGCGGCTGATAAAGATGCAAATCTTGTCGATCGTTGTTCCAAGCGGGTTACGAACGCGCGAGAAATTTGTTCGAGAAGTTCTTGTTCCGACGAAAACTTACGACGCAATGTCAGCGCGTCTGGAAACGTGTTAGAGAACACATTCTTTTTCTCTCGTTTTAGTCTCAAAGTTACCGAATGATGTTAGTAAAAGAAAAATATGCTGCGATTATTTGTGCCTGAAGTGATGGTGTCGGGAAAAGTTACGCGAGTGGTCGCGTCGGCGCACCGTATGCGCCGCGGTACTTGCGTCGCGTTTTGCCTTATTATCGCGTTTCACTGCGCGCGTCGCTCGCCGTGACGTTGCTTACGGCGATAACTCGCAAGAGGTAGTTTAAAAGTCGGGCATTTATCGTTGTCGTGATCGTGATCGATGACAGTCGTTGAACATTATCGTCGCTTAACATACGTCTGACATATGTACGGTCTCACGGGAAAGTTGAAGAATGCTACGCATACCTCCGGTCATTCAAGAATGTCCATGGCCGGTCACGTCGGGAAAGCGAAAAAGTCCGTAAAAGCGGCGAGAATAAAGGACGAACGAGCATTCGAGAAGTCAGGTCTTTGAGAAGCGGCCCGTTTGCCGCGTGCCGCTCGAGGCAGTCGCGCTACAAAGTATCTCTCTCTCTCTCTCTCTCTCTTTCTCCTTCTCCTATCTCTCTCAGCGGCCGTACCGAGCGGATGCAACTCCAGAATGGGAGTGCAAGCCGCCGCTGCCGCTGCGGCGGCGCTGCACGGCGCGTACGAGACTCCGTTACTCGTATCGGGTATTTCCCAGAACGCGACTATAAACAAACAAACACATCGAGTCGAACGGAGAGATGGGGAGAAAGAGAGAGGGTATACACTACTACCGCGCGCGTGTGATCACAGCTCTCCCTTCCAAGGCGAGGAGAGTGCAACGACGAGGAACCGCCGCCGCCGCCACCGCGCTGCTCCGCCGTACGCAGGAAAGACAGAGAAGGGCGATCCTGGCGCCGTCGGTTAAGGGCTCCCCGCCACCCAACGACCGCCGCGACCGGTACATGCGCCGTGCGTGGGGTTCCCTGGTTTCTCCCACCAGCCGACGCGAAACCGTCGCGCTCCCTACTACGGAGCAGAAGGAGAGGGAGAGAGAGAGAGAGAGGGAGAGAGAGACGGTTGTTGGTCGCGCGCGCACACATACAATTTCCCCTCCGGCGCTCGAGATCGCAACGCAAAGTCGTCGCGGGCGATCAACGACGGTGACAAACAGTCGGCGCTGTTTGTCATCGATAATGCGAGGGAAGGAAGGTACCCAGGATGTTCCCGCGGCACGAGCCTCGGCTCACACATCGATAGGAACGAAAGATGGATCCCGTGGCTTATTATCATCATCTTCGGTTCGTCGCGTTTTCGTCCCCTCGAATCGACGAGCGATGCGGCTCGTTGCCTCGTCTTGCCTCACCCCTCGTCCCGCCCCGCCCGTCCCGTTTCGTCTCGTCTCGTCTCATCTCGTCTCGCTCGTCGGGGTCATTAATCTCTCGCGCTACTACGCGAGCCCACGCTCGTATAATTTTCATTCTCGAAGCTGCCGTGGCCGCGCGCGCGGCGTTGCAAAGCGAGAGAGCGCAGCGTGCGCGCACGGGACGCATTCCGAGCGAGAGCGGCCGCGTCGGCCCGTTGGCGTGGAATGCGGGAAACAGCGAGGAAGCAGGCTCGCGCGAGGAGAGAGAAGGTGTCTTGATGCTTTCGTTGCAATTTTCGCACTTGACCGCAGGGGTAAGCGTGCTTTACGATCCGCGGTAAGATTACCAGCGCGGCGCGCTGCGACGGTGGAGGAAGTGGCGGTGCTGATGGAGGTGGTTGACGATGATGGTGGTGGTGGTGGTGGTGGTGGTGGTGGTGGTGGTGGTAGTGGTGGTGGTGGTGGCGACGACGACGACGACGACGGCGGCGGCGGCGGCAGCAGCAGCGGCGGCGGCGGCGGCGGCGGCGGCGGCGGTGGTGGTGGAGCTGGTGGTGGAGGCGTTGGCGGCGGCGGGGAACACGTCGCTATCCCCTCCATCCTCTTCTCTCTTTCTCGCTCCTCTGGAGTCTCCCCACCGTCGTTCCCGGATGCGGAGCGACGTAGTGGTGGGGAGCCGTCGGCTACGGGTAGGGCGCAGGGGAAGCTTGCCGCCAATTCGAGCGACTGTTGGTGGGGTGAAAGCGCGGGTTAGCAGCCGGGACACGCCAACCGTTGGATTCAGTAAGCGAACGGCTTTGAACGGCCACGAACGTGTTTTTCGTTCTTCGGTTCCCGCGCATGCATATATACGATATACGACATATATATGTACTACTCGAGACTGACCCGCGTGAAACAACATCGTCGTCGAGAGTACTCAGTCGGTGATCGGCGACGACGTGACAGTAACCAGATCGTACAGCCGCGACACAGATCCGCTTTTCGAGTACACCATCCGTCACCATCGCATCCACCATCATCAACTCCACCACCAACACCAAACCACCCACCAACATCCACCAACAACAACAACAACCACACCCGGCTCCAAAAAGTACCTTCATCCTGCTCTTCGCCCGCATTTCGATTTCGGTTTTCCATCTTCGTTCCCGCAACTGTGGCTTTAATCAATCAAACTGGATTCCAACAAGCAGTACGTGTCGCGATTACATCGCGGCTACCGGAGGCTTAAGAAACTATTCAAGGTAAGGGACCACACACCGCCAACTCCGTAAGACAGACAGACGCACCGATCGAAAGAGAGAGAGAGAGAGAGAGAGAGAGAGAGAGAGAGAGAGAGAGAAGTCGCCCGCGCGCGTCTCGTAGCCGCCCTCCTTCGATTCCTTCGCCGCTCTCGAGGGATCGAAGGGACGCGTTAGGATTCGCGCGCGCGCGCGCGCGCGCACCTACTCGGATACGTTCGTCGTGTATCGTGCGAGCACAGGAAGCCGTAGGTCGTTCGATCGCGTTCGTAATAATAGTGCGGAGTTATCGAGTGTGCCCCGAGTGAGATGGTTTCTCGTGATGAGGAAAGCGAGGATCTGCGATACTCCGACGTAACCGCGCAGAATCCGGAGCTACATTCGTTCGTTTGTTCGCTCGCTCGTTTGCGGTCATTTGAGGCGAAAAGCGTCGAGGCGAGTAGACAATAACGTTAGATACGGTCGCGCGAGATAAAGACGCTACTTGGCTTCTCCCGACCGTATAGAGGAACGCGCATAGTAATAAGCGCGGCGACCCGACGTCGCGAACGAAGATCATCACTCGCGTTTTCTGATCCTTGCGAGAGATTGGCGGGAAAAGCCCGGGCGACCCTGCGAACGCACAAACACGCAAAAATACGCCGCGGAAACAAGCGAGCGTTACAGCGAAGCGCTTTTATCGCAGAAGATATCGATTTTGCAGCGCGACGTTAGCTGTGTAGACAACAATTGCCTGCGAAGTGTATTGTACTTCTATCATAGATCGATAGATAAGTGTAGTATCTCGCAGATCGCTCTCGATGTGTTTACGAGCACGACTTTAATAGATACGTGAGAGAGAGTGAGAGTGAGAGAGAGAGAGAGAGAGAGAGAGAGAGAGAGAGAGAGAGAGAGAGAGCTCGCCGGAAGAGCAGAATCGTCCGTTTTCGAGACGCGCGGAAACGTGAAGCGCAGCGCGATGAAATAAGTAACGGGAGGCGAAGAAGCGAGAAAGAAGAAAGAGAGATGGAGGGAAGGAGGGAGAGAAAAAAAGAGGAGGTTAATATACCGCCTCGCAGCATGAATAATTTACACTCGCTCGAATTTAAATAAATTCGGCCGATGGCTGATGTGGCGGGCTTGAAAAACCGGAGGCGTAATCTCGGCTCGGCTCGAAAGTTGTTTACAGTCGCCGTTGCGACGCAAGTTAATTTCGAACGGATACGCGAGCGCGCACATTCACGCCGGATATCTCGTCCGCTCCGTGTCGCCGGTTATCGCCGAGTTATTTGTTTCGCGAAATTACTCGCGAAAGCTGTCATTCCCGATCATCCTCCTCCTCCGTGCGCGCGTGTGCATAAATAACATATGTGTGACGTAAGTCAAGAATAGCAGTACAAACGAACAATAGTGAGCGACGTGTCACGCCTCGGGTCACTCGATCGCTTCTGAAAAATCGTAAAAATCTTTCGGTGCGATCCGCGACATTCGCGCATCAAGTTATTCCCGCCCAAACGCGAGCGCGCGCTCGCATCGGTATTCGTGATTGTCGTTGAAGATTATCATCCAGCCTTCCTCATACCACGGTCATCAATCATTCAGAGCGTTTTATAATTTTTCGGTTAATCGCCAATTAATAGCCGTGCGGACAACCGCCTATTGAGATTTGCTCCGCGATCGCCGTTATATTTGGAGCTCCTCTCTCTCGGTGTTTCTGATAACGCCGCGCCCGACCGTGGTATATCAGTTACCGCACTCGCACGCACGACATATCCTCTGCACGGTGGCCGAAAATAAAAGGAGAGCGAGAGATTGCGGGAAGCGCGGTGTCGTAAGGTCGTTGTCGTCGCCGTCGCCGTCGCCGTCGCCGTCGATGATGATGTGTGCACGTGAACCGCGAGTGATTGCGCGCGCGCGAGAGACGAGATCCTGTCCCGCCCGCAAACGAGAGAATGCTCGCTGTGGTATAAGCGCGCCCGAAGATGATGCCCCCGACCGAAAAACATGTTTGGTCCGACCGGTTGTTTATACAATATACCATGTGAAAGCAAACACTTTAAAGGTCTCGCCGACGCGGTCGTGGAGTTCGATCTTTGTCGGGGATGCGTTATCTCGACGTCGTGAGACAGAGAAAGAGAAAGACTTCGTCGGGGAATGAAGAAAGAGATAGTAGAGGTAGGGGGTGGAAGGGGCGGGAGTGAAAGAGAAAATAACTAAAATGCGAAGGAGAAGGAGCGCGCGGGGATTCCCGGCTCATTGTCGTTTGTGTGTGCGTGCATGCGTGCGTGTGAGAGAGCAGGGAAATGTATCGTTGTGACCTCTTAAGATTTCGCTTGGCTTCGGAATTCCTCGTCGCTGACGCTTCGACGCAAACACAAACACGGACCCCGCCGAGGAACGTTACGGTAGATAATGCTTCCACTAATGTATCGTAACGCAAATACCGACGCGAGGAAACTATGATCTACGTGTGGCCCGGGGCTACCCCTGGATTAAACCTCACGTATGTAGCGCATAATTCCCCGAAACTTGGTCCCGACTGCCGTGATGCGTGGCAACGAGCGAGCGGGCTGAACTCCTCGGCGAGCAGCACACGCGCGTGTGCGACAGAGAAAGAGTCCCTTCACCTCGGGAGAGAGTTACATGCAAACGGAAAAACAGTCTCTATAACTCGTGTCGTCTAGCGAAACTACTGCGAGTACACCATTGTTCAAACGACATTATTACACGTTTGTCTTTGTCCACTTGTATATAATTATTATACCGTCTCTCTCTCTCTCTCTCTCTCTCTCTCTCCCTCTCTCCCCCTCTCTGCATATTTCCCTTATTCGCCCGATTCCTCCTGCTATCGCAAGTTGCAGTTCCGTTAATACGCAAATACCCAATTTACATAACGCATACCATACGTATACATACGTTGCACGCACGGCGCCTTCGATAAAAGCAATAACGGTACATACAAGCATTAGAAACGTTATTGCTGCGCGCGCGCCTTGATTTTCCGTCCCCTTTGTGCGCGATCGACAAGTGCCCACCGAGCGTGTGGTGTTGCTTGTGCGTGTGTGTGTCAATGTGTCTATCGCTCAATCCGACAGACGAGATCTCCCTCGGACGGCTAACGCGCCGTGTGTTATCGAGACGAAGATCGCAACAAAGTCGAAATATGTTATTACAGGTCGACTGTTGCTCTGTCTAAATATCACTCGCCCTGAATTCGAGCTCCTGTTTCGCACACATACACACACACACACACACGCACACACGGCTTGCTCCTTAGATACACGAGATTGTCGTAACCCACCCTAGACTAGCGTCTAACATCACGCTTCATCATCCTATCGTGGTGGACATGCAAAGTCCCGAATAAATCGTAATTCGAAGCTCGAAGGAATCCGGGTTCCACGATAATGTCCTGAGACAAGCTTTCTGGGAATATCGGGGAACTCGTAATGACCTGAAACGCATTGTTATCTGGACATCAGTCAAAGAGATAGCGTGTTAAAATGCGTTCTTAATGGCATATTTGAGAAAATGGAAGACCCTGAAGATAAGTCACATTGTGTTCTCTTCAAAGAGTCTTTTCATTTTTCGAGAATATGCCACTTCAGGGCATTATCTCCTTTGTATTTGTTGCTGTTCTCAGGTATAATAACCTTGCAAGACATTGCTTTTCCAGAGGATTTTTTTAAATTCTGAGAAAGTTAAATTTTGCGACATTGTTCCAAAATTGGGATTCCAAGATGTCTCACGCTACTCCTTGCATTATAGCACGATCTCTTTTATCCCTCTCTCGAAGCCTTGCATGTTCACCATTGCTGTGTATGTTCACGCATATAATTTTCTCTAACAATAAAATAAAAACGACATCAGGAACGGCGCATATCAAAGATCCAAAGTGCACCTTAAAAAAGAAAAGGAAAAGACTAATCTCATCTATTAACAAGTGTACACGCAACATTATCACCATCGAGATCGATACGAATATATACGTATATCGAGGCAATGTCGCGGCGTTACATCGTTTCTGTTACGAACGCGATATTGCCGATCTGTCGTATCTTGTAGCTTTACTGTTGGTTTTTTCTCGACGCCAGGCAATGTCTGTTCTTTCAAGAGTACGTATCGTATCGTTACGATCGAACCACTTGTACTTTATACTTTCATTCACTCGCTTAGAAAATATTTGTCTTGATAAATATTCCTCCTTGCTCTCTCCCTCACTCTGCCCTCTTCCCCCCCCTCTCTCTCTCTCTCTCTCTCTCGCTCGCTCGCTTATAAACAATATATCGTGTGTTCGCTTTCCCGACCATAATTTGTTCTTTCCGTCTTCGTGTGTTTATTTTCCACGAGTCTATCCTCGTCGCAGGATGCGACGAGAAGAGGCTCGTGCCCTACTGGAACGCCGAGCGAACCGTATTTCTATTCAATTCCATTCTCTCTTTCTCTCTTCGTCGAACGCTTTTACTCGTCCTCGCGCGCCGGCATCGGCGCGTGATCCAATTTAGCCGCGCTCGTTCGTTCGCTCGCTCGCTCACTCGCTCGCGACACGTTTCTCAGCGTCTGCGAATGCAAAACATCTCATTCACGGGCAAAAGTGCTGGCCGCCTGCGCGCCAATAGGCGTAGTCCCTTCTGCGAGAGCGGCAAAAACGAGAGTAGCGGCTCGCGTGAAAGAGAACGAGAGAGAATGAGAGAGAGAGAGAGAGAGAGAGAGAGAGAGAGAGAGAGAGAGAGAGAGAGAGAGAGAGAGAGAGAGACAGAGAGAGAGAGAGAGAGAGAGAGAGAGAGAGACAACGAGAAGAAGGTGATGGAGGAGGAGAAGGAGAGAAGGAGGGGGTACACGACGGCAGGATGTGGGGTATGCAGAGAGTGCGTCGCTCTCCTTCGTCCCTTCATCCTCCGCCCGCGTCTCGCGAAGGGAAAGGGAGACGTGGGACGAAGGGGATGGGTAAAACCGCGTACTGGGAGAGAACGGAGCGCCATAAGATGCGAAAAGGGCAGAGGGAGAGAGCGAGAGAGAAAGAC